TATAATTTAATTTTGCCAATCGAACACCACAAAATACTTTCACGTTTAGTTTCACCGAGCAAGATACACAAGCGGCTTCATACACATTAGTTTCTATTTGATTTTGAAACAATTGCACAACGGAATAACTAATATTCGTAAAAACACACTTTAGATACATCTTTTTAGACATAAAGTTGTTTTTTTTTTACCGTATTTCTTGCTTTGATGTGAATATATAAGCGAGTTAAAAACAATTAGAATTTTGGCACTCCTGTGCGTCAGCCATCTTCTCTGAAATGCTAACAGTTAGTATTACGTAATATTTAATCTATGACAATGTTTACAAAATGTGTACACATTTGAGACATGCGCAGAATGGACTGTAACCCAGCTTTAAGGTTAGCCCAGCGAGACGTTCGTTGAGACACAGGCAGTGAATCAGCTAGTATAAAGCAGTTGATTGTCAAATGCCTCCGAACATTTCTCCCAAATACTTCCCTGTCAACCCAAGGCTTTCTGCCTAAACAATCTGGCCTTGAATAAGTCAAGACAATGGGCAAATTTATATTAAAACAGACGCCGTCGAGGAAAGTCGTTCTTAGAACACCTGGCCAATTTGAATTTACACCTGTATTTTGGGAGTCTCAACTAGTGACATATACTATTACAACAAGAGCTTTTTACAAAAAAAATGTAGTTAGGCCAAATAAAAAAAAATACTTGGTTAGCGTCACCGCCCGCCTCTCGATTTTCTGCCGCCTCTGAATTTTTTTTTATTTTTTTTTTATGTAAATCTCTTCGTTTTACAGCTTAAAACAGTTTAATATTTGAAATTTTTCTCATGCTCAGACCTTCGCGCTATATACTGATCGATAGGAGCGCGACCGAGCGCGTAGGCTTGGGTATACAAGGTTCTTAAAGCAAAATGGCGGCCTTCGCAACATCAGTACAAAAAATATCACCGATATGGTGGAAAAACCGCCCCTCATCCCCTCCAAAAATACTATTAAAAAATTAAAAAACGAGTAAAAATTAAAAAAAAAATCCGCCCGCCCGCCTCTGAAAATTTGTGAGAGTGTGACGCTAACCAAGTATTTTTTTTTATTTGGCCTTATTAAACACGGCAGAATCGATGCCACGGCCACGGGTTTTCAAATTGTCTATTGAGTTAATTGTATTATTGAGCAAATGACAGACTTCACGCAATAATGATTAATGTTGTTTTTTAGCCTGCTATTGTTCGACACTTTTAATAAATAGTGTTTGTTACTTTGTTCAAAAACCTAAATACGTTTCCTTAAATCTTACAGTTATATTTTGGATATAAATCTATAAAATACATTAACTAATAGAGAGTAAAATTTTACGTCTCTGTAGTATAGTTACATAATTTAAACGGCAATGTACGAACAAGACAGCAATATACAAACGGGACTATGTTTCAAATATTAGAACACTTTAGGGAAAAAACGACCATGAATTATTTTAGATTAAAGTTTAGACCTTGGAATCCTAGTGAAAGATACAGGCGTAAAATTGTTTGTTAGAAACTGTTTGTTGTTGTTAATAACCTCTGGTAATCTAATTAACAAAACTTGCTTTGATTGGCTACTATTTACCGGATATTCAATTATCTCAAAGGGGGCGTATTGAAAAAATATCAATAAAAGTCGCAGGCTCTATATAATAGAGCCTGTGAGCAGGCTATGTCAAGGGTAAAGGACGGCTTTTATATTGTTCATATTGTTTTATATAATACCTTATTGAATTCTGATCGTTTAATTGGCTGTTTATGAGTGTTTTCATTTCCCAAGAGTGCAATGGAATACGTTCCATTGCACTCTCTGCGAGTGCAATGGAATAAAACGTATAGTACAATTGCACTCTTTGTGTTTTCGATAAATCGCATCCCCCAAAATGCTTCTCATACGAATCTATTAGTCTATTAAAAAAAAAACATTTTGAGGGATGCGATTTATCGAAAACACAAAGAGTGCCATTGTACTATACGTTTTATTCCATTGCACTCGCAGAGAGTGCAATGGAACGTATTCCATTGCACTCTTGGGAAACGGAATTTTCTATTCAATATCACGTGACCATAAACAGCCAATTAAACGATCAGAATTCAATAAGGTATTATATAAAAAACAAATAATGAATGTTTTTTCGTGCAATGGTAAGAATATTTTCATTCGGTGAAAGATGGAATGTTCCATTCAACTCGCCTGTCGCCTCGTTGAATGGAACGTTCCATATTTCACCTCATGAAAATATTCTTACCATTGCACTCATAAACATTCATTATTTGTATATTATATTGGCTTTTGTAATAGTCGGAGAACTCAATTACACAAAATGCGTTGACAGCCATTTTGGTTCTTTGTTGTTTTAATTGACCTCAGCTCAATGATTGACACACATCAAATTATGCTAAAATATCACGCGATTAAAACCCAAGAATTGTTCTTATAGCTGCCTACAGTATAGTTCTCATGTCTGTCAAAACAGCTTTACTACGTCTCAGGGTTTCTTTGTCAAACGGTTGGTATATATTGTGTCGTTATTTAACTAATTCTTGTAACCTGAGCGATATGTTGACGAATCATGAACTATTGGGGGGTAAAATTACCTGATTTCTTAAATTATGTTTTACGTTAACCAAAAGTAGTGTTTAAAATTCAGAGTGGTTTTTCATGAGTTCATTCAAGTAGTAGTCTTTTCTTTTGAAACAATATAAATTACAGGAAACTAAATCTACTGGAGTTTGGGAGAATGCCTTCCAAGGAAATTTTGAATGTTTTGACTCTCAGAAAGTCTGGAAATGCAACTAAAATCTGGCATTTTTAGCTTGCGTTCATTGTTAACTTCTAAGTTTGTCTGTCAATGCTCTTACAATTTATCTGAAAATCAGCTCAGATCACCTCTAAATCTTACCGGAGATCACTCATGAACAAAATATTGTGCGAGGATATGGGTTACATGTTGACGAAAGTCCTTATAAATTATTAATGATTTGAGATGACCTTGTTGATTACGACAAATAAACAACATTGTAGTAAAATATTACAAATAATCTTAGTTCTCCAACGAGAAAGAAAATTAAGAAATCGCATACTTACGCCTTCATTCAAAAGTGTACGAAAGTGTTTGGAACATGACCCCTAAATATATCGATAATTAGAAATATGAAACATTAATAACTAAATGATGGAAAATGTAGCAAAAATAGCCACAAAAAACAAACAACGCGTCTCATTTTCACATTGGGCACCCACGAATCTTTCAATGCTCGACGATTCGACTGAAACAACAAAAGTTTATTACGAAACACTACCCTTCCATTTGGGTTAACCTAATATTCGTGATTAAATTTCCTGCATGTTTATTTTATCTCACTTCCTATACCATAATCAGGTTAATGTGACCAGGAATCTTGTTGTTTGGCCAAGACATCCTTAATGAGGTTTATCAATCTTATTATCTATTGTCTTAATTGCATTCGACGCAACCAAAATTCGACGTATAAAACAGGCCTAATGTAAAAGGGGAGAGACTATAGGGAGAGGGGTAGCTCGCAAGCTTGTGCTACTCTAGCTGCCGTATGCTAGAAATTGTTTTTGTAATATCTGTAATGTTGTGTTTATAATTTATGAAACTTGCAATTGGTATATATAAATTATTGTTTTTGTTGTTTGTTGTTGTTGTTGTTGTTCCAAATTAGAGGAGCAGCGTGCTTAAATAATCTGTCTTCAAGAGTTTTTGAATTAATTTTATTTTGGGAATCTGTAACAAAGAACAATCATCTGACCTTTAATGGTGATTGCCTTCAGGCTTTGATGACAATAGATCAGCAATGTACTGAGGTGCCATACCATTGAGGGCTTTCTAGACTAATAAGGCAATTTTAAAGTCCCTGACTCGAAACTCTATTGGTAACCATTTAAGATGCATTAGAAGTGGAGTAATATGAGCTGTTGCTTGCAGCCGCATTGAATAACCTGGGCTTCTGTTTATTTATCCACTAACATAGTTTCGTAGAATAAAGACAACAAAAATGTTGTCTTTATTTGGAGTTACCGTTGTTGTGTATTTCATGAAAATGCTCAGTGGTTCCCGCAATTGACTATGCTTAACTGTGGAAGTTGGTTATATAATCCAAATCCAAACGACCAAGAAATCTAATTAACCAGCAGTAGTTGGGCTACGTTTATACACTGTTACGGCCCAAGTGTAAACAGCTTCCGCTCCGGCCTTTCAATACCTTCGCATTTACCAAAAGCAGATATATTGCAAACATTAATTTGAAAGAGTAAGCAAGCTATACCAGTAAATAAGATTATTAGAATAATCACGAATTGAACCGAAAATTGATACGATTGGTGTTCATACATTACAATGAGAGCGTTGCAAAAACCAATCCGGTACAATACGCACCACTTGGAATAGCGGACCGGCGCTTCGATGCAGAAATTGATTCGATTACCTCATTTATGTAAAAACAATTCCTATGCGCGGTACAGTTTTTGAGTCGCTATAAAGTGTAAACGCAGCCTAATTTCTTGATTAATCTGTAATTTTTTGACAATTTTTTGAGTATTTTTAATACCTTATGGGTAGAACCAGTTTTTTGATCGATGAAAAACGTCTCAAGTTTACCATTGTCCGTTTTCTTCTGAAACTCCATGCATCTTTTCCACACGCGCTTTGGCATACGATTTCTGATCCAGAACCAAACATAAGCTTGTTTGGTCACAGTTCCACCATTAACGGCCATGCACATTTTGCCACAATAGTCGTTTTTTCCACCTTTAGGACCGTAGCATGCACAACACTAAAACAATGTCAACACTTGAATTATTTTTCATCAAATTTATTATTTCAAATTTTTTTAAATAAATTTAAAATAAGTTTAGACATTTTATTAAATTTTAAACCAGGACAAAGGCTGAGAAAACGAAACAAATGTGATAGAGTTAGAATTATATAATACTTTTTGTTTGTGGAAACACCACGTAAATTATAATGTATATGTCCCCTAGTAGCCCGTTAAAATAAATGCAATACTAAGATATAGGTTACTCAATACAAACTAGGAAAGGAAGAAAAGATAGTGAATGATAATGTACTGCCTGTGTTATATAACCTATTCAGCAGATACGAAATCCGCAGGATTTGAGAACCGATACTCTACCTGGAACTGCATGATACATAAGATCATACATGTATTCTTGAACCGTAATTAATTTAAAGTTATAAAGAAATCGTGCATGGCAACCGTGCCAATGTAGCCTACTTTTAACTACCACTGGTGTAAAATGTTTGGTTAAAACTAACCTTGTAATTGTCACACCCAACAAATGCTGTAGAATTATGGATTATACCAGACATTAGAGATAATGCACTGTAACTAAAATGGAACTTTTTTAGATGTTTTATATTACTTGGATAATATAATTATATTCATATAGATAAATAAGTAGGTGATGGTTTAGGTAAGCAAGATAGTTGAGTCAATTATTCCAGGAAAAGCTTAAAAGTCACACTCCACATTGCACATTGCACATTGCACATTGCAGAGAACAACCAGCAATATTTATTTCATGCCTGATCGGTCATGATTTATATAGTGTTTCAATTGGGCGATCCCATGCAATAGCCCAGAATAATTATAGAGCGCTGGTGCGTTAAACCAAAGACCTTTGGTTCGATTCCCAGTTGGGATGCTTGGAAACTAATAATTTTTCAGAAGACGATTTGACTCTGTTTGGACAAGCCAAACTTAGTCAACTAATTTCATTTTATTAAAACTGACAGAAACTTTGACAAAAAATAAGAATACAGTTGTCGATTTTGAGAAAAATAAAAAAAATCATTTAGGAAATATAAATAATTAAAAATAACATGAACAGTGAAGTAGAGAGAAGAAAATGATAACATGCCTGAACGACCCAAAGCTGTCAAGCTGGTATGGAAATCCTTTAATAAATGCGTAGCCTTTTGGACAATTATTTCTAAGACAATAATTCATTCGTACCTAGATAAGATAATTAGTTAATGATTCATGACGAAAACTCGAAGAAAATAAATATTTAATCAATCTCTGAAAATCAGAAACAGATTTTGAACTAATATACACAAACTTTAGCTTTAATTTTCTTGGTTGAAACAAAATATTTCATAAAAAATTCACAAAGACAAAGGAAATTATGACCGCGCGTGAAGGAACTTGTGTATCTGGTATAAAATCTTGCTGATGGTGGATTCCAGCTATAGCTAAATTTTGATCTAAGCAAGAAGAACAAAATCCGTCACCACTGCTAGAAAGAGCATGTTAAAATTAGTAAAAGCGTAAAGTTTGGCCGCGAAATGTTGTAAAATATAGCCCTAAGAAATTTGCAAATTTTGTATTAAATTATTTGTATTACGCGCCGGAAATGCACATTTAAGCCGAATGTGGTGCAAATTCCCGTGCGTAATACAAATTAATACAAAATTTGCAAATTTCGTAGGGCTATATTTTCCTCATTTTACAACATTTCACAACTAAACTTTCCAATTTTACTAATTTTAACATGCTCTTTCTAGCTGTCGTGATGCATTTTGTTCTTCTTGCCTAGATCAAAATTTTAACTATAGTTGGAATCAGTTGCGTAGGAAGCATCGAAAGATTGGGTGGTCCCGGTTCGAGGAGCACTTTTGGATGACAAGGGCACCTGAGAAATTTTTCCGGAAATGTTGGTGACGGGGTGGGGTGGGGGGAGACTGGAATCATACAAAATGCAATCTGAACAACATTTTTCACGAAGGCAAAGGGCACTTTGCAATGGGAGAGTCGGCATTTTTTGTGTTTTCTGAAGGAAAAATAATTGCAATCATAAAAAATGCAATCTGAACAACATGTTTCACGAAGGCAAAGGGCACTTTTCCACCGGAGAAAGGGCACTTTTTGTGTTTTCTGAAAACTTGGGGGGGGGGACCAATCACGGTCTTCAATCGAGCCACGTGCCTGGCCATTCCAAACACAAAATACAGTAAACGATGTAAAAGAGTAATGAAATAAGGGATTTGGAACATTAACACCGTTTATTCTACAGTTTTATTAAAACTGCGAAATTCATTTGTTTACAACAGTCGTGAAGTCAGTAATATATAATATATAATATATTTTATATTAAAGATAATGTAAAGTCCGTTCTGCCCATACGTTCTGCGCAGGCCTACATTCCAATGGTCCGGGACCAGACAATTGGAATGTTGTTAATATTTCGCACCTTCCGAAGTTTCTTGAATTGAATCTCTAGCCTCTATTAACTTACAAGCATAGCGATCCAGAAGAGTGTTAAAAATTCAGTATAATATATATCTAATCATATTTTACAATAGCTAGAAATGAGTTTGTTTACATTACGGACTCTACATCACCTTTAAGATTAGGTCAAATCACCTTTAAAACGTACTTAATGCATGGAATTGAGTTTAACTCATAAAACTAGGTTATTGCGGCTCTGTTATTCCTGGTTACAACGAAAGTTTTTTTGTTCGATATAAGCGAATTACCTATTGGTTCATCTTCGTCCAATATGGAAAAATATTAAGTCTGGACTTCAATATTAGGCTCGACTTTCAGTCTCTCTCAATATTGAAGTGTCAACTTAGTATTTGGCCATTGTTTCGCTAATTTTAAAATAGATAAGTATTACGTCATTATTGAACAGACACAGTCACGTGACAGAAAAATAGCTGGAAATTAACACGTTGGTTTTAAGTTGTTTACTCGAGGTTAACGTTCAAAGAAATAGGTTATATTTTGTATTGTAAAGTGATATAAGCCAAAGAAGTAAGTTCATGTTGTTTTTTAATAAATTTACTTTATTTAGTAGATAATTCTTGTATTTATAATTTTAAATCGAATATTATTACTACTATTATACGATATTTGAAAATTATTTGTGGTCATCACTTTAGACAACGGTTTCTGATTCTGGCAAGCCATAAATTCGATTTCTAGCTGACCATATTCATGACGGATGTAACGAAGGAGGCGTTAAACGAAGCGAAAAAGAAACGGAAGTCGGAAGATGTGCAAAATCGAGTGTTACAAGCCTACAAGGGCAGGAAATGACTTGGATTATTTATTGAAAAATGGGAGACCTATACCAAAAGTTGAGGAATCACTCGCTAATTTTGAAGGTTTATACAAGAAATTGGTTGAAAAATAGGACGAATATATTCAGTTAGTGGTTGGCGATAAAGAATTTGCAACTGAGGAAGAGTGGATTGATGACTGTCAGCAAAGGTTTATGCAGATAAGGATCAGAACAAAGGATTATTTAAAGGTCAGGGTCAACCCCGTCCCACCAACGTCAAGGCCCATCCCACCAAGGTCAACTCACATCAACCTTGTTCCCAGGGAAAAAGGGAAAAGCCCTGGGAACGAGGTTGAACTCCCATCCCACGAAGGTCAACGCCCATCCCACCAAGAGCAAGGACGCAAGCTAATTGATAATAGTTGTTCGACCTGATAAGAAGAGCACGCCAGTAAGAATCGTATTTAATTCTTGGACAAAATACAAGGGACACTGACTTAACGATTGCTGGATAAAAAGTCTTGACCTTTTGAACAACATATTAGGAGTTATCCTTAAATTCAAGGAGCAAACGGTCGCTGTAAGCGGAGATATATCAAAGATGTATCACAGAATTGAAATACCTGAAGACCAGCATGTACATCGATTTTTGTGGCGAGATATGGATGCAACTAAACCAACAGACACTTACGTAAAAACTGTGTTAATGAATTTTTGGTGACAAACCAGCACCGGCGATGGCACAAATTGCCTTAAGAAAGACGGCAAACCAAGCAGAAAACGCTCATCCATATGCAGCCGAAATATTGAAAAAGAATACGTACATGGATGATATTTGTGATTCCGTACCCAATGTAGAATGTGCCCGGCAAGTAAGATCCCGACAAAATCTTAGATAAAGGAGGCTTTAAAGTGAGAGTGGTTATCGAACGAAATTCTACAGGAAAATCTACCGGCTGAAGAAAAATCAAGTGTTAGTTTTTTGGAAGGTGAATCCGAAGAAAAGGTTCTAGGTGTTGTCTGGAACAATAGTAAGGACGCCTTCACATTTAAAGGTAAAGCTAATGAGCTATCTGTACCGTCAAAAGAAAATTCAAGCAAGTTGAAATTAACGAAGAGAAAGATCCTTAGTAAAGTATAGCTTGTGCATTTGATCCAATTGGATTCGCAGCGGCGTTCCTAATCCGTGCAAAAATCCGTTTAAAACGACTCTGGCAGCAAGGATTAAATTGCGACGAAGAACTTTCATCTAAGGTTTCAAAGTGGTGGACTGAGTTTTTTTGCAGAAATCGAGGACTTAAATAATGTCTCGTTCCCAAGACGTTTAACACCACCGAACACTATTGGACTACCAACACTTCGTATTTTTGCGGACGCGTCTCGAGATGTATTTGGAGCATGATCTTATTTACGCTGGGAAAAGCCAAGTGGTAATTATGAAAGTCGATTTATATCTGCTAAGTCGAGAGTTGCCCCTCTTAAAGAAAATTGTACAAGATCATAACAGAAGAATGTCGTTTACAGTTCGAGAGAGTTATTTTCTTTACGGACAATCTGATAGTCCTTACATGAATTCGTAGTCAGTCAAGAAGTTTCAAACCATTTGTGTCGAGCAAGGTTGCGGAAATTCCGACGAATTGTGATCCATCAGTCCATCGACATGGAGACACTTACTGAGTGAGCACAATGTAGTCAATAATTTATCGAGAGGCAGTTCAGCGAAAGATCTAGAACACCGTTGGAAGAGTGACCCAATGTTCCTGAATCAACCCAAAAAAGAATATCCTGAACAGCCAGCTATGCCAATCGATCCTGCGGAACTCGACAATGAACATCGAAATCACCCAAGCAGCCTTTTCCTCAAGCACCATACGGACGCAATCGACCCAACGAAATGTTCGAAGTGGAAGAGATTGGTGAGAGTGATGGCGTGGATTTTACGATACATATGAAAACTATGGTCAAAAACAAAACCCGAAGTAATGTCGACCCGTTAACAGCTTTTGAGTTAGACCAGGCTGAAGAGTTAGGGATCAAGACAGCACAAAGAGAGTTACACGAACGTATTAAGAAGGAGTTCAATATGCTTAGTCCATTCACAGATGACAAAGACATTATAAGAGTAGGCGGGCGAGTGGATAAAGTTATCGTAACGTATGATTCGAAGCATCCAGTACTTCTTCCAAAGAACCACCACATTTCATACCTGATTACCAAAGATGTACATCGGATTACTCACACTGGGATAGCGTCGACAGCGGCGAAAACCAGAAGAAAATTTTGGATTACCGGAGTGCAAAAATTGGCAAAGTTAATGAAAAAAAGTGTATTCACTGTAAGAAATCTCATCCAAAGATTGAATCGCAAGTTTATGGCTGAACTGCAGAAGATAAAATTGATGCCGCAAACGCCTCCGTTTTACCATACAGTTTGTGACTATTTCGGTCCGTATAAAGTTAAAATTGGAAGAAATAAAACCACTTAACACTATGGTGTTTTGTTTTCTTGTCTGAATACTCGGGCAGTTCATTTGGAACTTGCAACAGATTGTTCAACAATGGAATTCGCGGATAGCAAACTAGCAAAGATGATCCAAGATTGGGATGTGAAGAAACTCATGGAATATGCAGCATATAAAAGAATGGAGTGGAAATTCATTACACCTAATGCCCCACATCAAAACGGATGTGATGAATCGTTGGTAAAAAGTTGCAAAATAGCCCTTGAACAAGCTATGGGAGATAACCTTCTCACAGCACTTGAATTGCAAACCATACTGCTGGAAGTAGCAAATATGGTAAACCAACGACCAATTGGTAGATCAACCAACAACCCCGATGACCTTTTGTTAGGAAGTGCTTCCTCATATGTTCTACAAGGACCATTCCTGAAGACAAAGAAACCGCGACACAGAATTGAATTTCTACAACAAATTCTTGACTCGTTTTGGAAACGATGGACCAGAGACGTCTTTCCCTGTTTAGTTCCACGAAAAACATGGGATGTTCAACGATGCGATGTCAAAGTCAACAATATTGCCATGTTAGTTTATTTGAATGCGGTACGAGGAAATTAGACGATCGGAAGAATTATTGAAGTTCACCAAGGTAAAGATGGAAAAGTTCGAAATGTAACAGTAAAGATACAAAATGGTAATTACCAAAGACCTATTACTAAGATCTCAGTTATACACCCCGTGGACAGAGAATAGAATGAGAACAATAGGCAAGGTTTATATTTATAGGCAAGGTATATACTTATAAGCTTCAAAGACATAGGTTTATATTTTGTAATGTAAAGTGATATAGGCCAAAGAAGTAAGTTCATGTTGTTTCTTATAATTTACTTTATTTAGTAGATAATTCTTGTATTTATAAGTTTAAATCGAATACAATCACTATCACTATTACACGATATATTTGCAAATTATTTGTGGTCACTTTACACATGCAACGGTTTCTGATTCTGGCAAGCCAGCCATATTAGGTCCAGAAGACTCCAATAAGTTATATTCCCCGAGCCAACGGCGCGAAGTGCCGTTCCGGGAAAACGAAAGCATTACACCCGGGAAAACGAAAGCATTTTAGCAAAGTCTGAAGTTCATCAATAATCGCGGGCATGGTCATCCTCACTGACCTCAAAAATATGGCGGACTGTCATGAGTAGCGAACACTGATTGGTCAAATTTAAAATTTGCATTATAACGACTGCATGACGACAGCGAAATAGCAAGCATTTCTGGATTTAATGATTTCTTGCAAATGCATTTCATTTTTGCAAGATTTTGTGAGTTTCAAAAGCTTTTTAATTTTAAGAGAATAAAGGCGAAAGAATTGCTAAAAGAAGGGAATAAAGGCACCGCGACGTTAACGAAGGTAAGTTTGTTTTAAATATTGATGTATTGTTCGCTTTATAATTGCTTTTAATAAAAGCTGATCGTTTGGTATATTTTAAATGAAAAAGACAGCATATAATTTTAGTGTTTCTTTATTGATTATCCTTTTTATTATATTAAAATTTTAAATAAAAAAGAAAGCAAAGTTGTCTGAATGAAAGAATTTGAAATCATTTTATTTCAAACTCGAAGTTTTTCGATAAAGGCAAATTTAATAGCTTCATAAAAAACATCAATTTAAAACGTCTTGCGAAGCGTCCGAGGTTGAATTTTACCTTAACACAATTTTTTTGCCAATTATCGCGTGTTTACAATTTATCGTATCGTTATCGTTGTGTAGTGTGACCGGGCCTTTAGTCTCAGAAATACTGTCTGGATCAGTAGGACTTTTCTTCTCTGATGTTTTGAAATAAACAGACGTATATAAATATATAAACTAAAACAGCAGGTTAAATTTTAACCGAGGATTAGCACTAATCTAGCTTTGGATTAACAACCGGCCCCATGCAGAAGACGAAAATTGCACTATAGAAATTGCAGCAAAATTTGCACGTGTGTATATATGGAAATGCGCAACATATATAACAAGTTACAAGCTCAGAAAATCTCACTCAAAGAAGATAAACCATATTCCATTGTTATGTCTTGGATATAAGGATAAACTCTCTTCCAGCTTAATTAAGTCTGCTCTACTATGTTTACGAGGCTCAAGAAGGCCTTTCTTTATGGACAAAGATTCTCAGAACCAAGTTTGAATGCTGTATATTTTATTGTCTTTCCTCTTCTTAACCGAGTTATAATTTAATTATAGTTTTTATCTACCATGTCTTTTTTATTGAATAAATCTTTAAATTTAAAATAACAAGTCTTTGTCTTTTCACTTTCGTGCGAAGATTTTGGTCGAGTTTAGATGCATGTCCATCTCTGGCGGACTCTGGGACTAAATGTCTATACTGTAATTCGCTTGCTTTATGTAAATTCAAATTAATAACAAAACCTTAACCAAATATGAAAGTATATGTCAAGCTTGCAGTCGATATCATAATTGATGTATGACAGGATAACTTTAATTTACGTGTCACCAGCAAAACTGATTATTGACGGATATAATTAATACGTTATATGCCTTGAATGTTTAAATGTTTGGATTTTTGTATACACGTCTGCATGTGCAATCTTGTCGATAAACTGTCGTTGTTTTTGATATTGGTCCGGAAAGGGAATTGCACGCATATATCTTTTTTCACTTTTCCTTCATAATTGACACAAGGAACTGTATGCTTGATGTTATCAAACTAGTGGATGTCATGTCTTCTTAGTTTGTAAGTATTAAAATTGATCGATCGCAATTAAAATAATAATTCCTAGTTCCCTTGACTGCAGCTGAAAAATACATGCATAGACTATATATATCATAGTTGTGACATCTTCATTCGTCTCAAGATACAAGGTATATATCTTAAGTTACAGTTATTAACAAAATATTGACAAGGTGAGTAATTACGAGAATATACGATTACGAAAATTCTTATTTTTACATTTTAAAAATACGTCTGTTTACATAGGTCATAGAGCATGCAGTTTTAAATCTACGTGCCTCTCGGTTCGGTTGTTTTATATACCACTAGACCACAATGTAGGGTTTCAGACGGGAATACGATGTTAACCAGAGACATGTTAACATCGCTTGTCTTGTTTAAATCCATTTTGCAGAATCATCCTCAAAGATATATATGACAAGCTAATTTCATATATAATAAAGTATTACGTATTATTATGTATATTTATTCTCATTAAGCGAAAACAACGAAAAATTCGTTGTCTCTGAGCTGAGGATATTCGCACGAGAAATACTTTTAAGTTGGATAAGACTTGCTACCAATCCCTGACCCTGTTGACGCGATAGCTCAATGGGTATGTTGAGTGGCAGTCTAGAAACACGAAAGCGATTATGCAGTTTGGAATGCCGCTCAAAAGCCAACAGAATTTTTCATTTTATTCTGCAGTGCAGAATGAATGTGAAACTAGTTTTTCATCTTGCAAGTCAACCAATATATTTTTAAATTTATTGTCGATTTTAGGTAACTTTTCAACACGTTATTTCCAAGTTCGTTGCGAACTTGCTAATTACGTTGTCAAGTTCGGAAGTTGGGCGTGAACTTCGCAACGAAGTTCGCAAGTCCATTTCAAAGTTCGAACTTTGATTGTAAACAAATGTTCATATAGTTGAAGTTGAAATTACTGTATAGGGCCATATGTACATATTACTGCAGTAAAATATTGGTCCAGTGGTCTGCCAAGACGAAAATACCTTTTTAAATAAATTTATAAATTTGTACATTTGTTTACAAATGAACTTGAAATGAACTTGAAATGAACTTGAAAGGAACTTGAAATGAACTTGAAATGAACTTGCGAACTTCGTTGTGAAGTTCACGCCCAACTTCTTGATAACATAATTGGCATTCAAGTTGGGAACAGCGTGTTGAAAAATTACCTGAAATCGACAATAAGAAAAATATATAGTAAGTTGAGTACTGGCTTAGTGCATGCTCATCCCATGCACCTGGGGCCGGTTGTATAAAAACGTAATTAGCGCTAACTGTAGTTAGCGTTAATCACTGTAGTTAAATCCTTAACTGCAATTAGTTAACTACACAACTTAACTGCGTTGCACAAAACGTAGTTAGTCGGATAGTTAACTAATCACGTAGGTAACTGTGCGTGGGGCTTGCGTGGGGCGTTTAAACACAAAATTACATAAAGTAAGCAGCGAGTAACGACCGCTCACACATTTTCAACATGATTGTGGACTCGTATTTTGCAAATAGGCGGGAAATTTATTCAAAACACTAGAAAACAGTGAAAAATAAACAAGAAAACAAGGAAAAACCGCCACAAAAATCATAAAAGAATGCAGTTTTTTCTTGAGATGTCTACGTTAAACCAAGGTATAGCTGTTTGGCAATTATATATCAGTGTTTCTTGGTGTAATGGACCATACTTCGTCTTCGAGAAATCGTCCTGTGCAAAAATATGTTCTGTTTTCGTAAAAACACCAAAGCGATAGCGTTTGAAGAGTTTATATTGTCAGGAAACATTTACAGGGAAGATAGCGATTGAAAATCTCAGGTAAGCGTTGCTTTTCATTATTGTTTTACTGAAAAATGTTGTTCACTCCTATACAAACGCCATTTTTAACTACGTTTTGGACAACTATACCCTAAAGCATAGTTAACTTTAACTACTTTTTAACTGCAGTTAAGGCTAACTACACTTTTATACAACCGGCTTAACTACGTGATTAAAGTTAACTATTTTTTAAGGCTTTTTAACTACTTTTTAACTGCAGTTAGGGCTAACTGCGTTTTTATACAACCGGCCCCGGAAGAACATTGACCTCCGCTATCAACTCTGGCTCTCTTCGCACGGCGGTTCACACCGCCTTTTTTAGGATCTGGCTTCGTTGATGTTTTAGCTGGTTGGTAATTAAACAACTTCTGATGTTCAATCCTGGCGCTGTTGCTATTTCCTGGGCTATGTGTACCAGCTGTATTTGGCCTCGGCGTAATCGGGATCGGGAGGGAAGGAACACTAGCTGACCGACCACCACTCATTTCCTCGTTCAATAAGAGTCGCGACGCTTCTGCTAGGTTATTAGCGCAATTTTCCAACAGTTCCCTAGCTGTGTTCCCACCAGTGAGGTTCCCACTAATACTTGCACGACTAGAAGACGTCATAATTTAGCATTTACGCTCGCATTTACGAAATATTTAAATTTTAAATTATCAGCAATGTAAACAGCTGGGAAATTTGTTGTCGCTGTGCAGAGAAATTGCTGGCGCACGCGATATTTTACAAAAATTCGAAAATTTGAAAAAACAATACGAGTGAAATTTCAACTGATGATTTTGCATTTTTAAGACGGCGATCAAGGAAATTGAATTGTTGGAAAAACTTCACTAACATCTCAAGTATGGAAAGCATCTACATTACCAGAAATTTAATTGTGGATTGATACAAAATTCAGGCGATAAAGTTACATAGCTAGGAGTTGGCTTTTGTGCTCTTCGAATATCAGTTCTCATTCGCAGATTACCATAACATGTTGGCCTCATGGGTGCCAAAATCGACATAAACGTAAACTGCTAACCAAGAGCTATAAATCAAATGGCTTTTCAAAAAGATAAACTTTATTCAGTTAAAAGGATGAGGGTAAATAATCATGCTACTGCGTGATAGTGATTTCGAAGCAACTTTGTCACATATATTTTAAAAAGTGTGATAATGAATCAAATTTTGCTTTTTGCAATCCCGAAAAGGTATGAAAATCATTTAAATATTTAAGGTTTCCGGGTTTGTAAAGTATTTTTTTGAGAAAAGTAAAAATTTTCCCGATAAAAAAGCATAGTTTCTGCAGAAAACTGTTTTCTGATAGAGAGGGTCCCGGGGGAGGGGGTGTAGAAGCGTGGGCGGATAGCAGAAAACCTTGACGTTTCCTCCAAAAAATTAATACCAAATTTTGTTTTGCCTTTGTTTGATATGTATCTTAAACAAGTTTTTTTACATCTAAAAATTGCCCCTAGTGGTCAAAACTTGGATTATGTTCGCAGTATTGGCCATTTGTTTACTTTTGGGGATCAAAGTTTGAGGTCCAATTATTTTTAAAGTTTGCAAACTACCCAGCTAATTCTTGGCTGTTGTTTGCAGCCTTGTATGCTGATTAAAATTTAGTTTAGTCCACAATAGTAGATCCTTTCAATGAAGGGAAATTCAAAATAGTATATTTGATTACTTTTACGGCACAGTCATTGCATAGGTAGGGTGCAATATCAGGCCAAATTGCAAAAAAATTTACCGATTCCTCCAAATTTAAAATCATATTTTTTTGCTCCCAAGGCACTTAGGAAACATAATTTAACAATGAATTTTGTTGAAAAATTGCCCCTTTGGGTCTAATTTCGCTTTGAAATGCGTGCGTTTACTGCTCTTGTATGAAGCCATAGTTCGAAAACATTCCGAAGTACTGTAAAATGTAATGAAATCGACAACTTGACCTTGCCCTCGAGACCTTGTACTGTCTCAGCACTGAAATGTTTTTTGACAACGATAATTTACCAGTGTTTCTTGAATATTTTCCTTGTTTAACCAGTAGAACCGAACGTACAAGTGCATCAGAAGACTAAGCGAGAGTTTTGTGTAGAAATGCTCTGTTTACGGGAAGTTTTTTTGCATTCGCAAGCGTCAGCAAAACTGCGGCATCAAGTTCAGTTTGATTAAATATCATAGCGATAGATAAAAGCTTTGAAAATTCAATTGAAAACATTTTAAACCACCTGTATTTGTATAGAATACTGTATATAGTTGTATTAACATTGAACTTCTTTCTGTTTGAACCCAAATTTGTACTTGTTTTGCGTTTGACAAGGCTGTCAAGCTCGCGACGATTGGCTTTTATACCTCAGTCAGGCATGACTACAGATTTAGTGTGTCACAGTGTCTTCTTGTTTGTGTCAAGATTATAATATTCTATTGCTGTTCAAACGAGATATTCTATCCACTGGAAACGTAGAGTACATTTTACTTTGTCTTTGTCTCAAGCAAAAAAAGTATAAAGATTAAACAGGCATTCAAAAATATACAACAACCACGAACTTCTCGTAATATTTCTTCGGGGAAATCTTCAAGTTTCAATGGAAAGCTGGCGCATGCGCAACAAATTTCCCAGCTGTTAGCAATGTATAAAAATTTCCAAGTTCCTTCGGGCTTCGCCACGTGGGAAATAAGAGAAGACTGCGCATGCCCAGCAGCCCTTAAGCTCGCAAAGGATCATAATTAGAGTTATATGAAAAGTCGTGTGTTATCCGAAATTTATAGCGTTATATGAAAAGTCGTTTGTTATCCGAAATTTATAGCGTTATATGAAAAGTCGTTTGTTATCCGAAATTTATAGCGTTATATGAAAAGTCGTGTGTTATCCGAAATTTATAGCGTTATATGAAAAGTCGTGTGTTATCCGAAATTTATAGCGTTATATGAAAAGTCGTTTGTTATCCGAAATTTATAGCGTTATATGAAAAGTCGTTTGTTATCCGAAATTTATAGCGTTATATGAAAAGTCGTGTGTTATCCGAAATTTATAGCGTTATATGAAAAGTTGTATGTTATCCAAAATTTACAGCGTTATATGAACAATTGTGTGTTATCCAAAATTTATATTGTTATATGAAAATGAAAATCTTATCTTAAAATAGAATAACATTTTTGACACCGATGACGCGCCATACCTTCCCACCCTCATTAGAGACCCCATTAGGGGCTTTAGGATAGATTGACATTTGCGGCAGACTAACGAGATAGACTATTATGCGAGTCATGCGAGTCTGCGAGTCGTGTGAGTCGCACGACTCGCAAAACTCGCATGACTCGCACGACTCGCATGCATATGACTAGCAGACTCGCAAAATAGCCGACCTCCAGACTAACAAGAGTGTGTTGATGGGGTATG